CGCAATAAATTTTTTTAATAAATTATTTTAATAAATTATTTTCAATTTTTCAGCAAATTAACATCTTTCCAATATAATGTCTGATTGAGCAGCGAATTATTAAAAATTGCTTATCAATTTAATTTAATTCGTGATATTATTACAGTAGTTTAATTACGTTTATATATAAGTCCAGAAAATCAATTTGGCGCACAGTTCGAATGACTACAAATATGATATATATATATATGCATGTACATATATAGTATATATTGGGTTGTTCGGAAAGTTCGTGCCGATTTGGAAAATTGAAACGCAGAAGATTTAAATTTTTAATTTCATTTATTAAATTTATTAAATTTAAATCTTTTGCGGCGCGAACTTTTCGGACAACCCAATATATGATTCATATTGAATTATTTAAGCATTAAAGAGCTTCAATCGATATTCCAATATTTATCGATTGTTCTCACATTTAAGATCTAAAATAATATTTTTATTGTATTGAGTTGTCTGAAAAGTTCGTGCTGCAAAAGATTTAAATTTAATAAATGTATATTAAAATTTAAATCTTCTGCATTTAAATTTTCCTTCAAAATCGGCACGAACTTTCCGGACAACCCAATATAAGCATTCTTTATTTTTTATAATGATTCTTTTCTCCGGTATTTAAAAGGGAATTCTTGTTATTATGTAATTCACATTATTATGTTTTTATTAGTTTAATGTCAATAATGGCATATGATGATGTATGACATATCAATTTCCAGATTCAAGTGGAACACGTTGAAATTGCCCGAAGACTTTAACATCGCTCCTGCAACTGGCTATTGCTCTCCTGGTATGGACGTCAATTTCATTGTCAGTTTCCAACCTATTCGGCATGATAGTTTGATCGAGGGCAATGTGAGCGTATACAACTTCTATCTTTATATCTATGCACACGAAATGCTTGATTTTCGGCGAGAATCTCGTTCCTTACTCCTACAATATACGCCAAACATAAAAGTAGTTTAAGCAATACACTGTGCTTCTTGCCATATTTCTACATCATATTTAACTTTCTGAGAGAACTTTTCCCCTCAGAACTTAGAACAACAGAACTGTTATGTATGTGCTTGACATATATTCTAGAGTACTTGTCATATTTATTTAAAAAATTGTCTTAATATTCATTTCGATAAAATAACGGTATAATTATTATTTTAAAAAGATCTCTAATGTACATATATATACATATATATATACAAATTTTATCATAATTTATATTATTATATTATAAATCTGATATTAATTTTAAACGCATGCAACAAATAATTGAAACTGTAATTGAGCATATGAGATATAGTCATTTAATAAAAGATATAATTTATTATATTCTCAGGCAACGCTTGAGATTGAAAAATATAGAGATCTCGGCTTAAGAATTACTGGAGCTAGCTGCAAACTGCCTGATCCGATCGACACTCTATTCTTCTCGTGTCGCGTTCGCGAGAAAATAATGAAGTCTCTGAACGTCGAAAACGATATCACAACTTTGAAACCGGAGGTCACCGGTGAATATTTTTTCATCGACGAGGTCTCATACGATCCTTTGAAAAAATCTACTACCTGTACAATCACCTATGCCCCTCTAGTCATGAATGGCGAGAACAATCTTCACGAAGTAATTAAAACAGAACTTGGTTAATTTCTTTTAAAATAATCATATAATTCCATAATAACATAGAACATTTATAATTTTAACGTAAAAATAACAAATCAAGGAATGTAATATTTCCATAAACTATTTCAGAGTACGTTGCTTCTAAAACTGCCGGATGACAAAGGTTCTTTAGTGTACTGTCTTCGAGGGCTTAGTCTACCTCCACAAGTTCTCCAAAGGATTACACGTCAATTTCCGGCAAAGACAAAATACACTGAATTATTATCTGTTTACAATTGGCTCAGTAAACAACAACGATTCGAATGCCAAATTGAGAATATGAACGGCAAAGAGCCCGTCGAGGTTTAAAAGATTTACGAGAGACAGAAGAACTGTGAAATAATTCTAAAATTTTTTTCTTAATTTGCTTTTTAGAATGTCGAAATGTTCACTTTTGTCGGCAACAGCAAGATAGACATTCCAGCAAATGGCCAACGAGATTATCGCGCAGAGTTTTATTCCTACAAAGAATCAAAATATAATTTTAAGGTATTTTATATTGATAAATTATTGTCGGAAAACACAAATGACGTAAAAAACTTTTTTTCAGTTTTAACAAATAGGACTTTCAAAATAACAATTTTATAACTGTTTCTAATCCGTGTTTTAATGTAAAATTATATTTTGCAAAATATTTAAAACTACGTATGCATAGGTAACATTCACTAACGAAGAGGGCGAATATCAATTTTATGAACTCCAGTATGATATTACAAGACCACAAGAGATCGAATCGATTAAACTGATCACTGTGGTACGATCTCCGGTGTGCCATGCTTTAAAACTTGATAATCCATTTAAGAAGCAGCACGTAACATATACGGCAAAATGTCAGCATCCCTGCATCACAATTCAAGACGTACCAAAGCTCGTAGCACCATTATGCAGCGTTAGTTATTGAATTTTATTTATAATAATACATTGCAATCAAATAGACACAGTTAAAAATCATATTTTTGATCGAAAAGAATCTTAAAAAGAATGCTTAATAATATTTATATGTAATATTTATATATAAATTTACTTAATATTTATGTAAATTTGCAAATATATTTTTAAATCCTACAAATTACGCGCCAATTCCACATTTGTCGGACTTTAAACGCGATTGAAAATTGAAAATATTAATCATAAATTATTGATAAATTTAATAATGATTATTAAATTAACTTAATTTGATTTCATTTAATTATGAAATTATTAAATATCAAGATTAACTTTGATAAAAAATAATTCTTTTTCTGATTTATCTTTATCAGTCAGATTTTTACTATTATTAATACGCAGCAAGTTAAAAATATAAACAAAAATCGAATTTCGATATTTCATCCTCAATTTTATCTAACTGGGTAATCTAACATAAATTAAAGAATTTTTATTACTCAGACAAATTTGATAAAAATTCCAAAAGTATCATTTATCGATTATAATCATTCGAATGCTTGAAGAATTATACAATAGGCTACCGTATTGTATAAACCGTAAAGAGTTATAATAATTAAGGAATTATGTTCGCAATTTATAAACAGAATAAATTTAATGTGGCCAACAAACAATAACAGTGACAATAACGATTTCTGTGAATATAATAGGAAAATATCAGAATCAAGTACCACCCTTTACATTCCGCCGAGGAAATTACGGTAGCTTTGAACGTCAACTGCGAGGAACTCGGATTGTTTCCCTACGAGCTGCGATTGCGAGCGATACCAGCACCACCAGAGAAAACGACGCGCGTTGATGCGATGCTCGGTAGTTCTGTCACTTTTTCCCTGAACATAATCAATCATGCCGAGAACACTGCAATATTCACTATCAAGGTGAGCATAAAGCTATGTTTCTTCTTCTTTTGCTATAACAATCGGAAAAATCTTCTTCTCACATATTCCAGGTGAATAATGAATGCTTTACGATTTCGAAAGACATCGAGGTGCCGGCGTTGAAAAGTACATCATTCGACGTAACTTACGAACCCTGCGACGTCGAAAATGTCTCTGCTACTTTGACAGCCACATCTGAGATTGCCGGCGAATTTGTGTATGTTAATTCACAATTAAAATTAATCCTTTACGATTTTATGTCGAATTAGATTCAACGTTATATGTTACTAATTTAGTAATAGCATATAATACTTTAAACAGTCGAATCTGTACGCGATTAAAATCGATAATTGTCATCAGTGTAAAAATTCGGGTCCAATTTATTAAAGTTTATTTAATTTATTCAAAGTTTAAATAGCTACAATTTTAAAAATAAACAAAATTTAAATTTAAAAAAGGAATTTTAAAGCTTGAATCTCTACTTTCGAATGATTACTATATCTTTTAAGTTTCATATGAGTTTTGTAATTTTTACATGTAGAAAACTAGAAGCTGAAAAAAATGAAAAATTTGTTTTCACTTTGTAGGTCTGTAGCGTGCCCAAAAAAAATTTGTTGAGAAAATTTTCAACTTTATAAAAAAAGCTTGAAGCTTTCTCTACAAAACATTTTTTTTAAATGTTCCTACGATCTTTTGTTACTGAGTTGTTGCAAATAAAATAAAATAAATATTTTAATTTTGATTGCTCTCAATCACAATTTAAAAAAATAGATTCTTAAATTCTCTTATCAGATAGAATAAGATTTAGATTTTATTTTACTTTTAACAAAAATAGCAGCCGAATTTGAATAATAAATCGGACACTTTTGTACTGATCCAATATATTTTCGAGATTTCCATAAATTCTTTGAAATAATGAAGAGAAATTTTTTTATTCATGTTAGATTAACTAATTGTATAAAACTGAAAATGAAATACTGATTGGTTTTTTTATTCATTTGAAATAATTTAGACATCAAAGGATTAACCTGTCATGCTGATTGCTGCATTATTAAATAAGCCAAATATACAGAATGTGTTTTGTTTAAATTGTTTACAGATTTCCTCTCATTGGTACGTATTCGTTGCCGAAACCTCAAGGGCCATATACAATTGCTGCCAATGCACCAGCTTCTATACTCTTCAAGAATATATTTAGAGAAATCAAATCTTTTGAGCTTATCTTGGACGATCCCGAAGTTTTCGTAACATCGACATCGTTGGACAAAATGAAGCAAAAACAGGTAATTCTATTGATTTTATAAGCATCTTTTTTAATCCTCATCGGGTATACGTTTTTTTAGTACTATTAAGCATATACGTAACATATATGATGAATTTTTAATAACAAAAAGAAAGCAATGTTTTACAAGATTATTTAATTATTACAGCAGATCTCCCTAGCAAAAATAAAAATCGGAGCGTAAATCGAATGTAAGGGTAGATTTAGACTTTGGATGTATTTCGTTTTATGCATGATGTGCATAATGCATCATTAATCTTTGTTGTTCACCAAATATTAAACAAGGATAAATGAATGGCATACTTTGTGCATATCATGCGTGAAACGGAATACATCCCTTGACAGAAAAGTAAAAAGCAGAAAAGCAGCAATCTATCTATTAATCAGAATTCACGTTGGTAATAAGCAGTACAGAATGCCATTGGCTGCGTTCAGCAGAGAAAACTAATCAGTTAGCGCTTAGTGGTTCTTTAATACGATTAGTTCCTATATTTAGATTTAATGAAGAACTAAAGGCAAGGACTATATTAAAAAATCACTAAACGCTAACTAATTAATTTTCTCTGCTTTCTGTCAAGGTCTGTTTTTTTTTTTATAACGTGAACATGCTATTACTACATAAGGCTAATATTATTCATCTGTTTTTTTATATGTAATCTGTTTCTGTAACAATAAGTTTTTCAAGCCTTTTGATTGTAGAGCAAAAAAATTCTCTCTGTCTTACAGCCAATTAACATGTAAGGTTGAAAAATTTGTCGTATGACACATGTAATAGCAACCTAAAGGTACAGCAACAGAAATATAAATGAAGCTTCTAGAAAGCGAAATTTGAATATAAAATGTAAAGAAGCATTTACTTCTTAATTTTCGTCTCTTTGTTTACGATTCTATCACTTTTCCTTTATAATCGACTTATGATGCTATCTTTATTTTTGCCAAGATAAAATGTTTAATAAAACAATTTATTAATTATTACAACATTAATATAAATCAATATAAATTATAAAAATAATATGTAATATATAAATTATGTAAATTATATAATCAATATAAATTAATATAAATCAATATTACAAGGCGATCTCTATTATCGTTCAACTAAAAGATAATGGAAAAAGAGAAATGGAAGATAATTATCCAATAACCGGAAAACTTCTAGTGTACTGCGCAGATCCCAAGATTTCTCATATAAATTGGATTTATTATTTAAGAGGTATATGCAAACAATAAATGAATAACATGTTAATATCTAATGAGATAAGTACGGCACCACAATTTGTCACATTTTTTTCTTTGTGATATAAAATACTGTATTTACGAATATTAATTATATCATTGAAAAAAATAAAATACGCTCTTTTTATGTTTTTACGTTCTGTATATGCGAAGGATCACTTAAAAAATATCTAGAGGTACATTCTGTTTCCCACATGTCATTTTATCATTCTTCGACCGCTATTTCATTTGTACGTTTTTGTCGTATGAATTTTTCGAACCCTTAATTAGCTTACCATATAAGATAAAGAGATCCGAGGAGTTCTCTGCCCTGCACACATTTATCAACGCACAAATAAATAAAACCTTTTGAATGCGTTTCGTTTTAAGTCTGTTCAATCATAGTCGATTATTTTTATCATATTATCAATGATTGGTCAATTTCTTACGGCTTACAACTTGCGATCCTATTGTAGAACAAGTATTACGCATAATAATAAAGCGCATGATGTATCGTTTTTTTTATCCTTGCTGTTCACCGAATATTAACTCTTTATATGAATCGTTCATATCTCAGGCTAATTTTTATTACTTTAACAAATATATAAAAATTATTAAATGATTCTTACATATACTTTATATATCTTTAGAAAGTATATATTTTGTGAGATTGTGTATTTAAAAAGCAAGATACAATAAATCGTATACAATAAATGTTGTAACTGCCCGGGAAAAAATGTTATAAAGGGTCTTTCAACAAGGACGCTCGATTTTTAAATGTAAATAATTTTTAAATGTAAATGTAAATAAAACAAGTTGTGTGTGAGATATCCACTCAATTTTTTTTTTATTTGAAAGAATATTTTATAGCATTAAGTATGGAATATAACGTCGCTCAAATGTCCGCCGCGGCTTCGCTTGGATACGTATTCGGGCAGTCCAATTTTCGATGACTTTCTCGCATAAATCTGGCTGAATTTGCTGGATGGCGTTTGTTATGTTGACTTTGAGAGCATCAATTGTTTACGGTTTATTCGTACAGACTTGCGATTTAAGATAGCTCCAAAGGAAGAAGTCTAAAGGAAGAAGTCTCGTGCGTTAAATCGCACGATCTCGGTGGCCAGTTCACGTCACCGCCGCGCGAGATAACCATGTCCTCAAATCGCTTATGCAGAATGTCCATCATGGCATGCGGTGCGTGGCACGTAGCGCCATCTTATTGGAACACATGTTATCGGTATCCATATCATCCATTTTAGGCCACAAGAAGTTGCTTATCATCGATCTGTAGCGCTCACCGTTGACGGTTATGGCAACGCCCGCTTCGTTTTGGAAGAAGTATGGACCAATGATTCCGCCAGACCAAAATCCGCATCAAACAGTGACTTTCTCGGAATGCATTTGGAGCTGGTGTATCTCGCGTGGATTGGTATCGTCTCAAATTCGACAATTTTGCTTGGTCACATATCCATTCATCCAAAAATGGGCCTTATCGCTAAAGATGATTTGTTTGGCAAAATTTGGGTTAACTTCCAACTGCTCCAGAACCCAATCAGCACACGGCGTTGTCTATGATCGTTTACTTTAAGTTTCTGGGTCAGTTGCATTTTATAGGGATGCAGATCCAAGTCCCGAAGCAAAATTCGCCAAGTTGAAGTCGCAGAAAGGCCAAGTTCTTGTGAACGAGAAATTGATCGCCGGGTTTTCCCGTACACTCTCACGCACAGCAGCGATGTTTTCAGCAGACCTTGTGTTTCGGCGACGTACTGGTGTTGGTTGATTATTTATCGAACCGATTGATTCGAATTTGGCCATCAAACGTCGAATAGTCGACTTGGCAGGACGGTTGTGGCGAGGAAAAATCACATAATGCGCGGAACGTTTCTCGAACGGAGCATTGATTTTGATAATAAAATTGATAATAAAATTTTATGATTTACACACGTTGCTCAACACTATGACCTTCCATGGTGATTTGCCATACACTACTAAACAATTCACAACAAATTTGACAGATGTCACTTTAATAACATGGCTACTATGATCTAATAAATTTCGAGCGTCCCTATTAGAAGACCCTATATATATGGACCCTATATATATTTCCCATACAGCACAGAAATTTACAATAACATTACAGAAATGTTGCAGATTGCGCAGTAATATTGTAGATATTATGAATTGTAATATAATATAATATCGTGTAATATAATATAATACCCGTAATAATATATAATACATAAGGAACCACGGTAGTGTCATTGCGCTTGACTTAGTCAAGATACACTACTATTGTGTCTTCTGATTACGACGTAAAATTTTACAAAATCTTATAGCATTTTAGACTCAACAGTTGAATGAGCGCTCGCTGCTATTGATGTATTCTTCCAGATTTAGCTGATTAGATGATCTAAAAGAATGTATCAATAACAGCGAATACATCAATAACTCTCTCAACTGTTGAGTCCGCTGAACGCAGTCAATGTTGTTACAGAAAGATATTGTCAATTTTTTATTGTAATGTTGCAAATGCTTTGAAGCGTTTTCTAACTGATCAATTTATAAAATTTTATTCTTTCTTCTAATTGATCCATCAAATGCTTCAAAGCATTTGTAGCGAGACTTTGATCAGCCAGAGATATTAAAAGACATTTTGGCCTTTTGAGTAACGAATTGCTGTCACATGTAGAAACATACATCATTAACACGTTATGTGATTGTTAATTATTTCCAGTGATTTAATCCGACTTCTACAAACTTAAAACCGTAAAACAGTTGCCGCGCTACAAAATGTGACGCGGTAATCAATGAACATATTAGGAGTTGTAAGCTTATTGGTATTAGTTGAAACATTTGTTGTCGCCAACGCGCGACAAGATTTTTCAAACTTTATCAACTTTCATAATTTTTTGAAATACTTGATTTTAAAAAATTCTTTGAATATTGCAAAGAACATAAAATAAAATACGTGGAATTTCTTATTATTTCCGTTTCATTAATTAAGAATATGTACAAAACAGACATATACTTCTATAAAATATAAAATATATATCTACATAAAAAACAAATGTAAAATTTAAAAAATATATATACCTGCATATACAATTTACAATTAGGTATAAAATATAATAATTATAATATAAATTAATATATACATTGATTGAGATTTTTTTCTGCAATTTTTAAATTTATATCACAAATTGTATTTCAAATTATATTCAGTAATAACAAAAGAATTATTTTTAATAATAGTTGCAAAAATACATTGCGCTATAACATTGTTATGACATTATAGCGCAAGCTTGTTAAAGACGGATATTTTTATGATGCTATGACTTTGCAATGTTGCAAATACATTGCGCAATCTATTTGCAATATTACAATAAATATTACAATATTGCAATAAGATATCTGCAATTATTTTGCAATCTTTCTGTGCTGTATGGGTATGGACATATTTTATATATAATTATATATGAAACTTTTTTCCCAGGTGATTATTTGATATTCCTTTTTTCGAAAAAAAGAGAATGTGCAGGACGCGAAAAATCCAGCCGTATTAGAGAAAAATTGAGATTAAAAAAAGATAATCATGCGTGAAATATAGGAACGCATTTTTAAATCTTAAATACTCTGTTTATCATACGTCATCGTCCGCACACGCGCAGTGACACACGCCTCGCTCGTATAATCCATAGTCCATACTCCATCACTCCCTCACTCCATGGTCAATGATGTCGAAACGCGATGGTCAAACCGGGTCGAACACGGTCAAACTGAATGAGCGCTATAGTGATTTGCTCCGTAGTGGTGGTTCATAATTTCGTAAACACGGAACTCATGGAAAGTTCCAGAATCATTCCCAGCTAAAATCATCGCCCGCGTCAACATGTGAAACCGGCATCTCTTAGATCCCCGTGATCGTCGCAATCCCTCCGTAACGAAAATCTAACCTAACCTAACAGTGATACTTCCGCGACGATCTTATGATCGGCACTGTTGTCGCTATCACTGCTGTAGTTATTCTAATTCTTTGTTTAGTACTCGTTCCGCTTCGATAGCAAAAAACGGTATCTTAGCGAAGTCAGATTCGCGATAACCTTGAATCGCGAAGGCGCAATTGCGTTTGATGACAGCGCATCATAGGAGCAGCTCGTGTCGCGGTGATCTGACAGGAACAGACTAATCAGGCATGCATCTAATGCATGCGACGCAATTATACGCGGGCGATCATCTTCGGGTGTGTGTACTTTCCTACGTCGTGCTATCATGAGCGAAGAGTCTAGAAAAATAGTGACCAGGTTCCACTCCATCCACGGTGAGAACATTCTCCTGTGCGAGGACAGCACGGTCGCGGTACGGACTACGAGCTTTGCCAATTCGGTGGCCTTCAGCGAGAAACCGTTACAGCCAGGGGAGATCTTTCTCGTAGAGATCGAGAAGACTGAGAGAGGATGGAGCGGACACATGCGACTGGGTCTCACTTTGATCGATCCAGCTTCGGTCAACAACAATCTGCCTCAATATGCAATGCCCAATCTGGTTAGATTAGGCAACACATGGATCCTCGCTATAACTAGGAATCAAACTATCTGGGACAATTTTGATGGTGGTCTATCTTCCACATACACTTCTATCACAGGTTAATATGAAATTACTATGATAATTTTATAAAAATTCTCTTTATCAATATTACTTTATCAATATTACATTAATTTTAAAAATTAAAGAGGAAGTTTATTAAAAATGATACACTATGTCTGTTTTTTTTAACTAAACTTCTTGCAAGATTTATCTTTTTTTTCATGTTGAAAAGAAAAAGATAAAAAAACTACAAGAAGTTTAGTTAGAAAGACAGATTTACTATTTATATATATATATATATATACATAT